TCGTGTGTTGAGGAAGTTTTATAGAACACTGGCAGCACAGACTATATATCTCTAGGTGATGTTTTGAGAGTGGCATGAACTTTTGAAAGAGAAAGAAATCATTCATAGTTAAATCCTTAAGTTTGCAGGTTGATTTTAAATTTGTTTTCTTTGATGTAAAAGACTATTTAGCTTTAAAAAGATCACCGGCCACAAAGGATTCAAGGTGTATTTATTGAGCTGAGGCAAAGAACTTTATACTGTAATTTAGATTTTAGAAAATGCTGGAACAGGAGAATAGTTTATTTCTCATTCATATATGGTTATAGATAGTGGCCTTTTAATGCTTGGAATAAGTCAAGTGGAAACCTTTTCCTTTATGACCAGAGAGACACAAGGTTATTGGAGTTCTGGTCTGGGATTATTGCTATATCCACTTAGATTACTGCAGTCCTTGAAACATTTGTGTTTCAGGTAGATTTAAACAAAACTAATTAGGGGCCAGCCCAGTGGTGCAGTGGTTAAGTGCGCATTCTCTGTTTCAGTGACCCGGGGTTTGCAGGTTTGGATCCTGGGTGTGCACCGACGCACCACTTGTCAAGCCATGCTGTGGCGGCGTCTCGTATAAAGTAGAGGAAGATGGGCATGAATGTTAGCCCAGGGCCAATCTTCCTCAGCAAAAAAGAGGAGGATTGGCATCAGATGTTAGCTTAGGGCTGATCTTCCTCAAAAAACAAACTAACAAACAAACAAACAAACTAATTAAAGTCATGTTAGATTTCAAAATGTTCTATTGATACTAGAAACATCTAGTAAAAGTCACTTGGTTAATGTTTCTTTGTAAAAAAGATAGTTACATATATGAAGTTATTTTAGTATAGATTATAGGTAGTCCTTTTTGTATGGTAGTATAGGACCGTAAAAATGGCCATTTAAGCTGAAAATGTGCAAAACGATCTTAATAATCAATGGAAAAATTACCAATTCCATGACCTTTAAAAATTTTTTGTCAAAACATTAAAACTTTTACTGTAGTTTATAAATTTATAGGGAAATGAAACACAATAGTAAAGTTAATATTTATTTAGTGCCCTGTAATTTAAAAATGTCAGAAACAGTGAGAAAATGTTTTATTTCTTTGAGTAGAATTTGTCAAGAGTAGTTTGAGCGTGTTTGCTTTCTTCTCATTGTGTAATTTATGATATGGATTATCTTTTCTCTGTCTTAGTAAATTGTCATGCTCCTTTCCAAGTTTGGATTGGCTTCCAACATCTTACCCTTTGTGCTTTCAAAGTTGTGAAATATCTGAGAGTTTATTTATTTATTTATTTATTTGTGAGGAAGGTCAGCCCTGAGCTAACATCCACGCTAATCCTCCTCTTTTTGCTGAGGAAGACCGGCTCTGCGCTAACATCCATTGCCAATCCTCCTCCTTTTTTTCCCCAAAGCCCCAGTAGATAGTTGTATGTCATAGTTGTACATCCTTCTAGTTGCTGTATGTGGGACGTGGCCTCAGCATGGCTGGAGAAGCAGTGCGTCAGTGCACGCCCGGGATCCGAACCTGGGCCTCCAGTAGCGGAGCGCGCGCACTTAACCGCTAAGCCATGGGGCCGGCCCCTGAGAGTTTCTTTAATGTTACTTCTTTGGGACATCTTTTTATCACAACCACTTTCCAGTTTCACTTCCAGTGTTACCACTTTTCATTTCTTTGCTGCACTCTCTTTTTTGTTTTGGCCCTTTCGATTATGCACTTCTGTACAATGTCCTGTGAGTTTATCACTACAAGACAAGGAGGCAGAACAACTACCTGCTTTGCTGTCTGTGCATGAGCTAATTAACTGATATGCAGGAATCAATTGCCAATGGACTTGGAAGGAAGTGTTGTGATTGGTTACCGATCATGATACACACTGTTGTTCACCTAGTGATTTGTGGACCAAAGAGCTAGCAGTGAAGTTTGTACTTAATGCAATTACTTACAGTTAATACACTGAAGTTTGAGCCATGCTGTTGTGGGGGACTGGTGGTAACTGTGGTAACTGAAATTCATGCATATTGGAACCATGCATAGTGAGGAGTGCCTGAATTCCAGTTGTAAATTCGTTGCAGTACATTTAAATCTTGGCCTGGCTCCCCTTCCCTTTCTCTTTCCCATTGTACATCGAGCCCATCATTGTAGCCAAGCTGTGATTTAGAAATTCAGTTCAGAATTCAACTGGGAGTTAGGAAGTCTTTGACTCAACCTTGGAGTCAGCTTCTCTTATGCAGTACCTCAGAGTAGATCGGGCACTGGAGAAAGCATATTTCAGTCCCTGTCCATCATGGGCAGTTTTGACTTGATCTGCCACATAGTCAGACCCTGGGCACAGTTTCTAGGTGGTCACCTTGGTCATTTTTTCCAGCTCTCTCCTTCCTCCTCCAGTGTCCCCTCTTCATCGGCCTGCTGTTTATTTCCTGTGTCTCATCTGCGTGTTGTACTGATTCTCCCTCTATCATTATATTACTTCAAGTTTCTTTCAGTTCTTGTTGCCATCCTAATCTGTGTGTTTTTCAACTTGTAATTCAATTATTTTAATAGTCTCCTAACTGACTCCTCCACCTTAGTCACTCCCTGTTCCAACTAATCCCACATGTCATCATCACTCTTTCAGCCTTGTTTAATTCTCTCCTTGGAGCCTCCAAAATAACTTACTAATGACAGAATAAAATCCAAACTCTCCCCTTCTTTACATACACTGTCCTCTTAGGGTGCAATCCTTTCTGTTTTTCTGAATCTTGCCTAGTTTCAAAGACTTATCCCAAATGATCTCTCCTATAAAGTCTATTTTGACTTCCCAAAAATGACTTTTCTCTTCTCTGAAGTTCCACAGGATTTATGTTTTATATTGTTTAGTTGTCACTTATTTGCTGACTTGTATTTTTAGTTATCATGTATTATCTAATCTCCCCAGTTAGTTCTTACATTCTTGAAGGGCTGGCACGAATCTCCTGTGGTACCTAGAATGGTATTTGACAAAGTGGTAGGCATAAATATGCTCGTTCTTTTATCCAGTATTTTTTTGAGCTGCAGCATTCCTCCTAGAACCTGAGCTACATGCTAGGGGTAAAACAACAAGATAAAGTCCCTGATCTCACAGAGCCCCAGTTGAGTGAGGCGTACAGGAAAGTCATCAGGCAGTTATAATGCAGTAAGCTAAGTGGCATAATGAGCAGCAAACAAGAGTCCCTGGAAGCACAGAGGAGAGGCACCAAATGTAGATGAGGGGCAATTGAGAATGGTTCTGGAAGAAGTGAGGTTTAAACAGTCTAAAAGAGAAATAGGAGGCTAGATGAGGGGGACTGAGTGGAAAGAGTGTTCCAGGCCAAGGACATAGAGTGGATAAAGCTCAAGAGGGGTGAGAGGGCCCTGCACACTGAGGAACTGAATAAAGGTGAGTGTAGCTGAATTGTAGGGAATGAGGTGAGATTGATAAGTGATGAGGTTTAGGAGGGAACAGGGGCCCTGTGATGGGACAGAAGTGGACATATTTGATGAATGTTTAGAGGGGAGGACTTCCAGGACTGACGTTTGGATGGGTAGAGCAGCACTCAGGTTTCTGTTAAGGACCACTCAATGATGACAGATTTTAGGGGGAAGATGTTGAGATCAATTTTGGACATTTTTAGTTTGAGATGCCTGTTGAATATCTACATGGAGATATACAGGAGTAGACAGTTTGTCGCACAGCGGAAAGCTTTGGCTAGGAAATACAAATTTGGGTGACGTCAGCATATGACGGTGAAATTATAGAGGAAGAGTGTGTAGAGCTAGTAAAGAAGATTTTAAGACCAAATCTTAAAGCAGCTCAGTATTTAAAGGACAAGTAAAGAGTGGAGTCTGCAAAGGATATTAAGATAGAATGAGCAAAGAGGAAGGAGCAAAGCAGAGAGTGAGATGTCATGGAAATCAAGGGAAGACTGAAATCTGTCCATTGGATTTTGCAACATAGAGACCGTTAGTGACCTTAGTAAGAGTAGTTTCTATGTAGAATGTGGGTGGGGAGAAGGAAAACAACCTGGCCCAAGCTGCTTTGCAGTGAGTTGAGAAGTGAACAGACAATTCTTTTAAAAAGTTTGGCCATGGGGGAGATGATTTAAAGAGGGTAGAAGCTGGAAGGAAATGGAGTTGAGGGGCTTTTATTTTTTAAGCTGGTGGAAATCTGATCACATTCAAAGGCTGATAGGAAGAATTCATTTGTGATAAAGAGGTTGACCATAAGCTGAATTTAGCCAGAAGTTAAAACTCCTCTTAAAATTCTTCACCTATGTCCTTTTATCTTTCGGTATTCTAAATAAACTAAATTTTTAAACTACTAATCACTCTGCTACTTGTAGGTTTCACCGTGGTCTTGTTATCCCAAGGAGATTGCAAATTCCTGTAAAGCAGGATTCAAACTGTTCTACTCCTTCATTCTGGGTAGCACTTAGTTCAGTATCTTACACAGAGAAAGTTTCCAACAGATATTATTATTAGCACTCTCATTTGTTTCTTCTTTGAGGAAATATTAATGTCCACTCTGTGCAGGCATTGTTCTACGTGCTGAGGGTATAAAGGTCACTAAGCCAGACATAACCCTTTTTCCCAAGGAGTTTCTAATCTAGGGAGACAGTTAATAAACTAGTAATTAAATAGGAAAAACAAGTAATTACAGAAAGTAAGAGACGCTTAAAAGGACAGTGTGAGAGATAATAATCTTGAGTGGCTACTTTATATATGTTCTTTTCAATGAGTTCTTCTTTCCATTGTTGGAGGAGAACAACCACAAACAATTGGAGAGTTCAGTGATTTAAGATGGAAAGCAAAAGGTAGTGAATAATAGACTTTTTGTCATAGTATAGTTACTCCTTTGTTTACCATTTCTAAAGTTAGTGGGAATATGATGGCTGTAATGGGCTGTGTGTTTTGGGAGTTTCATTGGTTGATTGTCATTTAGCATTTGAGAAACTAATCAACTCTCTACATTTTATCTCTTCCCTTTCAGTAATTTGCCATCTTCCGTGTATGAACGGCGGCCAGTGCAGTTCAAGGGACAAATGCCAGTGCCCTCCAAATTTCACAGGGAAGCTTTGTCAGATCCCGGTCCATGGTGCCAGTGTGCCTAAACTTTATCAGCATTCCCAGCAGTCAGGCAAGGCCTTGGGAACGCATGTAGTCCACTCGACACATACCTTGCCTCTGACCATGACTAGCCAGCAAGGAGTCAAAGGTAAGCTCATTATTTTGATTTTGCTTATTTATCAGACCTCTGTTAACCTGCCAAACCCATACAGAAGCAAATATATGCAGATGGTCAGGGCTGGTATTAGAACAGGAAGGAGTGTATGATCTGTAGCCTGAGATGGCAGTTGGGACAGAATATAGGCCCAGGTATGTGGCTACAGTGCAGTCTAGGCCATAGAGATTCGGTATCTAGGAAATAAGAGAATAAAAAGGAGCCCATCCTTCTCTGGTGGCTCTTAGCACCAAGAGCTAATAACCATGCATGGCACTGTTCTGGCACAGCCTGGGAAATAGAAGGATGAACAAGACGGTGTTCTGGCCCTTACAGTATTAATAAACGAGTGGATCACATAGTACTTGCTGATGAAAACCAAGTCTATTTTGTAGTTGAGGAGTACTTGGTTTTAGTTGCTCTAAATGATCATTTAACCTCCCTGGACTTCAATTTATTCATCTGTAGAGGAAGGTAAACTAGGTCACTTGGAACTCAGAAATTCTATGACGAATTCATTCTTTTAAACCTGGCATCTCTTATATGTGCACAATTTTTAAAAAGGGGGCAGAGAAGTGTTACTGGCTCTTATTCTTTGAAACCTGAATCTTAGGATCAGAAGATGAAATATTGTTTGAAAGCTGCAGAAATTAAATCTTGTTAGAGATATAAAATATCACACTTTGGTATTTTGTGTGTGTATTTCATAAGAAGCACAAAAGTGTGTACACACGGGGCCAGCCCCATGACCTAGTGCTTAAGTTTGGCACGCTGCACTTCGGTGGCCCAGGTTTGGTTCCCAGGTGTGGACCTACACCACTCGTCAGCAGCCGTGCTGTGGTGGCGACCCACATACAAAAAAAAAAAAGAGGAAGATTGACACAGATGTTAGCTCAGGACGAATCTTCCTCAAGCAAAAAGAGGAAGATTGGCAACAGATGTTAGCCCAGGGTGAATCTTCCTTAGCAAAAAAAAAAAAAAAAAAAAAAAAGGTATGTACACGCTATGTTTAAGGATAAGAGAATTATGCTTTGTGAAATTGTATTCCTCTTTTGATGTAGAAAGGTGAATCCTACAATTTCTATGGTAGAAACTTTGTGAGACATTCGAAAGTAGTCCAACTCTTGAGTCTTTATTACTATCATTTGATAAAATGTACCCACCTGTGACCACAGGCAGCATGAATTTCATAGTTTTATGACTTTCCTGAAAAAAATATTTTTGTCTCATGAATGTGTTACTATGAGAGGTTTTAATTTCTCTTCATAATTGCAGTTTTATTCTTTAAACCTTAATTTATATATTTTAATTTTTATTTTGAGTGTACTCTTTTGTTAAGAATTTGGCTGTACAGCAAAAATATATATACACTATATTTGCATTATTTACCCTATGTATAGTATACATGCATATAAGTATATATATGTGCGTGTAAAATTTACTTTCATGCTGAGTCCCATGTTAATTATTCATGACTAACAAGTTTTTCTCCCAATCTGTTTTAGTGAACTTTCCTCCCAACATAGTCAATATCCACGTGAAGCATCCTCCTGAGGCTTCAGTCCAGATACATCAGGTTTCAAGAATTGATGGCCCAACAGGCCAGAAGGTAAAAGAAGCTCAACCAAGCCAAACCCAAGTCTCATACCAAGGGCTTCCTGTCCAGAAGACCCAGACAGTACATTCCACATACTCCCATCAGCAAGTCATTCCTCATGTCTATCCTGTGGCTGCTAAGACGCAGCTTGGCCGTTGCTTCCAGGAAACCATTGGGTCACAGGTAAGCAGCGTTGCCCAGCCCAGTTTAGTAATGTGTTCTAGATAAAGGTCTCATTTTAATAGGAAAGCCAGACTTGGTAAAATGATTTTTTATAGAATGAGTTGGCAAACTGACCCAAGGGCCTGTTTTTGTAAATAAAGATTTGTTGTAACACAGCCACAGCCATTGATTTACGTATTGTCTATGCCTGCTTTCATGCTGTTGATGGTAGAATTGCCTAGTTTCAATGAGATCATATAATACATAAAGCCTAAAATATAGTCTGCAAAGCCCTTTACAGAAAAGGTTTGCTGACTCTCGGTCTATAGATAATTTTAAGTAGTGAACTTCCAAAAGTGCTGCTGAAAGTCCATGATTGCATGTTTATCTTTTTTCCAGTTAAGCTTGTTTGTGTATAAAACATGTATCAGACATGAGCCATGGTACATGAGACATTCTGCAAAGATGTTTGAAAATATTTATGCCTTTGTGCAGTAGTTTGCAGGTTAGTAGGTACAGTCGAATATTGAACCCATCACGCTATAGTTTTTCATCTTTCATTTTCTTATAAAAATTCATCAATAGAATGGCAATGCGTGAGTTATTCGCAGTGCATTTTAAATGTCATTGGATTTACGTGTAGCTTTAGGCCTATATTTATGTTGTAAAGTGGGAGAAAGGCTGAGTTTTTTTTAAAACTTCCCATTGAAAGTGCATAGTGAAGGCAACAAAAATATTGGTTCCTCTACCCTAACCATTTGGTGCTATGTGCTTTGAGATTACATGATAGTGATGTAGCTTTGTCCTGTGGTTCTCCTCCTGTCACTTGATTAAAGAGTAGATGAGGTGTACTTATAATTCCTGAATATTCCAAAAATATTGGTGTGTGAATTATTTGTGGGTAATAGAATCAATTGTTATTGCTTTAGAGAGTTAGAAAACACTTTTAAAGGCAAAATTGATGTAGACCCTAATGGAAAGAGCACCCATGTGGAGTTATAAGATCTTGGCTAGAGCCATGGACCCAGCACTTGGTGGCAGGGAACCAGCTTCCTTATCTGTAAAGTGGAGACAAGAATATGGGGCTTTGTTAAGATTAGACAAGGTAACGTGAGCACTGCTTTGCAAACATTAAACTGTGTGAGTATTAGCTTAGAAGATATTTATTTATCACAATAGTGTCAAACTTAAAAATAATCAGAGGAGGTGACTGCTTATGTCATGTAACTTCAGTAATACATGAAAGGCTTAATCACCAAACACGACCTTTATCTGCCTGTGGGTGCCTGAAATGCTTACTGAAGGGGGACCTTTTCATTCCAGAGTTGAATACCCGGTTTAAGCAAATGCTTTTTGGAGAAGGAACATCATTAATTTAAACTTAGCTTAGAAGTAAAGACTAGATTCTTGTGCTAAGGGCGGGTTTTGCTAGGGGCAGTGGGGCTGAAGTAAACTTCATGCACTTCACAGTTTTGCCTCGGACCAGCCTTGGAGAAGGAGGATGAATTTGGTGCCATTTGCATTGCTTACTCATTCCAGCTTAGGCTGGTCATGAGAAGGGAAAAAGCAGATCCTTTTAAAACTGTGCCCAATATCTTTCACCTTAGTTTCCAAGTTGGAACACAGATGATAAAAAGCAAGAAAATAGGGTATTAACAAACTTGTTATTCTTGTATAATAATAGGCAGTTGATTGCTAACTTGAAAGGATATAAATAATTTACTTATTTATTTATTTAAATTTTTGTTTATTTTTAATTTTTTTTTTTGGTGAGGAAGATTAGCCCTGAGCTAACATCTGTTGCCAATCTTCCTCTTTTTGCTTGGGGAAGATTGTCCCTGAGCTATTATCTATGCCAGTCTTCCTCTACTGTGAATGTGGGACAGTGCCACAGCATGGCTTAATGAGCAGTGTATATGTCCACGCCTGGGATCTGAACCTGCAAACTCCGGGCCACTGACGCGGATCGCGCGAACCTAACCACTATGCCACTAGGCCGGCCCCTAAATAATTTACTTTTAATCCTAAACTGCACTATACAATCAAAATGAATTGGATAATTGATAGAGTTACCAAATAATTCACTCTCAATGGAATACTTTTTGCCTTATCTAGATACTTCTCTGGCTTTTGATCTGAATGATCCAGACAGTGATCTCAATTCTTAGTTTACTTTGCATGTGTAGTTACTAATACACAGCTTCAAAGTAAGGCCTGTTTTCGAAAAACATTTGCAGCATGTATTTGTCTTCCTGTTGGCAAGAAATGTTGCTGGATGCCTATGACTGCCCAATTAATTCGTGCATTAAGGATGATCCAGGCATTTATAAAAATACATCACTGGCAAATAGTCGATAGTATATAAGATGTCTCCTACAAAGATGTTTGAGAACATTTTTGTGTCCTTGCTGTGGTTGGTTTGCACACATAGCCGCAGAAGGGGAGGTATAGGTAGATTTTAAGTGAATGGCCAAAACAGCTACATAAACACTCACTAGTGCTTTGCTCAGTGGGAACACTCATTAGCTGCAGATTTCAACTATTGAGACTATTAATGCCATAGAGTTATCAATAAGCACTTATGTTTGTGTGTTGCCGTGAGAGATCATATACAAAACAAATTTAACAGAAATAGCTCTTGTTTCTGTGGCACATTCTAATAATTAGGCAGTAAACTTGGGGTTGAGAATCCAACATGAACTGTGATCAATGTATTTAAATTCAGTGAAGCTTCATGGAGTAGAATTTCAGGAACTGCTTGGATGGTGGAGGAATATGGATGGTTAAGGGTTAGGAAACCAAGCTTACAGAGAAAAGGGGGAGTAGAAAGGACTGTGCAAGAAATGGGTGAGGAAGAAGTATCAGAAGAGACCAGAGATATGAAATGGTTTGGGAATCCTGGCAGATGTTTGCACAAATATGAAGTCTCTTAAACCTGAGGCATAGTGCAAAAAAATAACTTGATGTCAAGGTAAAAATAACATGAAACTCCCTTGATCAAGTGATCAAACTCAGAATTGTTAAAAGTGGGACAGGCGACATTATGTGCCTTCTGGTGTGACACAGTATGAAGTTTACATATTATCCTAATTGCCAAAAATGTTTAACCTGAATCTAATCAAGCCTTTACACCTAACCTCTAGCTTATGGGAAATACTGAGGGTAAAGCTAAAAATATCACACACACACCCCTCCCCCCTCTCCCATCAGACAGATTCATAATTAGAATCTTGTTGCCTGGTATCTCCAAAAAAAATCATATCATGAAAAAAAAAAAGTAGAATGACTTTTCTGGAAAGAGACTAATGAGACAATAAGAAATGTAGTGTATGAACCTTAAATCCTAGTTTTAAAAAAACACAAAACCCAGCTCTAAAAGATATTTGGGCAACAATTGGGAAAATTTAAATACGGACTGGGTATTAGATGATATTTTGGAATTATTAATTTTTTTATATGTGATAATGGTATTGGGATTTGTAGGACAGTGTCCTTATTCTTGAGAGATGAGTGCTGAAAGTTTTGGGGGTGAAATACCATGATGTCTGTAATTTCAAATGCATTTTATACACAAATATTGCAAAACTGTAACAACTGTTGACTGAGAGGTGGATGTGCATGTGATTATTATATTATTCTTTGAAGATCTCAGCATATTTGAAATGAGAAAAAGAAGAGGGAAAATGTTAAAATTTCCTAGACTTACAAATAGAATAATTTTAAGCTGAACTTAAAAGCTGTAACTTTAATACATTTAATAAATTTTTAGAAAATTATTTTCAAAGTTTCACTTTTGAATGAATGGGATAGGTGGAGGTAGGGGATGGTAGACATGAGGAGGGTAGGCAGAAGTTGGCCTTGGTCCAACTGTGAAATGAGCAGGGTCCAATCTAAGAAGTGAAGCTGAAAATAAAGATGAATGTAGGGGCTTTTGTAAAGAATCAAGCATCAGGATTTGGTTATGGGCTGTTGTGAAGAAAAATATGGTGATGAGTTGGAATATTCTGAACTTCCTTGATTCAGAAATCAGATAAATTCTCACTACGATTGATGAGCTGACCCTTGCGGGGGCGGTGGGGAGAGGATTGTGAGGTGAAGATGAGCAGCTATGTCTTTGTTTTAAGCAACCCCGTCCTTAATTGACACCAAGAATGGTGTATTCTTGGATATTAATCAGGGAATCCAATGCTGTGTTAGAGATGGAGTGAGAGAGGATTATGGAGAAAATTCAATGGTCAGTGAATAGATCTAGTGATGACAGTTAAATTCATGAAAATAGAGGACATTTCTTTGGCTTGTATTATAAAGAGAAAAGAGCAGGAATAATGGAATTGGAAATATCTGTGATTTTTCCCTTGACAGAGAGTGCCAAGATATAGGGGGAAAATCATTCCTATTGTAGAGAGTGATGTTTCATCTTTCAGAGTCCTAAAAATAATTTCTTGTTCTTAAGATCATATAAAGTATTGACTTTTATGTGAATCGGGCTGGGTACAGGCATCATTAAGTTCACTTTAAAATAATAGAAATTAATCTGATAGAGCATTTGAGATGACTAAGAGGAATGGGTTTCTTGAATATGAATCAAGTTGAAGTACTTGATAAGTCATAATTTTGGCAGAGATAGGTATCTGTGCTACCTGGAGTAAATAGGGGTATTCCATCTATATTTGAAAACGTTTCTGCGAGTTTGCTCACTGTGTAGATCGAGTTAGAATTACATCTCCACTGGTTACAATTACCAGCTACTTTCAGGATGCTCTCATGTTTTCACATGCTTAAGACTTGAAAATTTCCGTGCTAGTTTTCATCTCTAAGGAAAGCCAAATTTCAGAAAATACCCCTCAAATCTATTTTTGCATCACAGGGACATTGAATATGTACACCTGAATATGTACACCTATTTCCATTGTACAAGGATACCCTTTGCTTTAAATTGGTTCTCTTAATAGTTACCTAAATTTGAAATTTATTTGGCATCTGTTTTTTAGTTTCAAACATGTTTTATTTATTGCCCAATT